GCGGCGGGCGCCGAAGCGAAGCAGGACGCCGGAGCTAAGGAGCCGTGGGAGCCGCTCGCCAGCAGCCCCCAGCTCCCGGCTCCGCCTCCCGCTCGGCCCTGGACCGCCCCCCCGCGCCGCCTCCCCGGGCCCCGCCGCCCGTCCCCTTCTCTCGCTCCCCCCCGCAGACCCCGAGCGTTTGGGAGGCTCCGCCCGGCCTCGTGCAAATCCCAGTCGCCCCCTCTCCTTTCCCAAGATCCCCCAATGCCGCCCTCCCAATGTTCTTTAGCCACCCGACCCCTCTCCAAATTCCTAAGACTTAGGGACCCCCCCCCGCGCCTCCCCTAATTCCCCCTGGCTCAACCCAGCTTACCCAGCTTCACCCCACCCTGGCTCAACCCAGAGGCTGCACCTGGGGGCGCGCCTTAGCCCAGCCTTGCTCCAGGCCCCGCCTTCTTGGGGGTAGGGGACGCCTCTGGATGGCCAAAGCTTAACTTTGTCTCACGTCAAGCCCAATAACAAGTCCTGTACCCTTTTCTAGTCCTTGAAATAATTCCTTGTGGCCTCAGAGGCCCCTTCCCACCCACTTGCCCACAACTCACGCATTCTCGCACCACCAGGACCCACCTATTCCCTCCACCCAGGGCTCGTGGTTGCACTAACTGCTAATGGACAGAGGGGTACCGAACTCCATCCTCTAGCCCCTAACCTTCCAAACTGACTCGGGCCAGGATGCTCTGGCCCCCTAGCTGCCGCCCTGCAAGCCAGCCCACTCACGCTTTTATTTTATTTGGATCCCTATTCCTAGCTTGGAGCAGCTCTGCTTGGCTGCTGCTTGCGCTCTGCATGAAATTCCTGAAAAGGGTGCAAGGTAGGGACCTACTGCTCTGCTTCTGGCTCCCAGGGGCTCCTACATCCTCTGCCCCATTCCCAGAGGAGGGGTCTGTTCACCAGTTCTTCACCCCCAGTCCTCTTTCTCCTAGATTCAAGTTGAGCAGTAGACCTAGGTCCTCAACACAGGGCAGCCTTTGGCCCTGGGCAGAGTCTATCTCTGGCCCACCAACCTCTGGTCCTCCAGGGAGCCTTCAAGTGGGCAAGGATCTAGTGCCGCAGCGGCCCCCCTTCTCCACACCCATACTTCCTTCATCTTTCCCCTCTTCTGTTCTCTCTTTCATCTCCCCAGTCATTTCCTTCTTCCTCATCTTGACTTTAATCTTATAAATGCTTCCTCCCTGTCATTTGTGAGCCATTTCCCGTCCCCGTGTGGCTTGCCTATGTGCCCCTTTTGTACCATCTCTGTGCATTAAGTTCTCTCTTCTTTGCTCTTCCCTCTTCTGCCTCTTTCCTCCTTTCTATCTTTAACCCTTCACGTGAATTGCCTTTTTCTTCTCTCTCATCACATTTTATTTGTTTTTTTATGACTTTCGATAAAGGCAGAGGACTGAAAAGAAGGAAAATTCAAAAGCTGTTTTGTGACCTTGGACTCAATAATACTGTGTATTAAGCATTCTCCGAGTGCTAGACACGTACGTGTGTTAGCTTTTACACAGAACCCTAATCCAATGAGATGAGTATAATGATTCCCATTTTCCGGATGAGGAAACTGAGATCAAGAGGTCATGGAGGTGAAGGAACTTCTCAAGGTCATACAGCTAATGAACAGAACACCTGAGAGTGGAGCCCCAGTCTCCAAAGCCTTGGCAGCTTCCATTAAATTACACTGTCCTCAGTGACCTTGAAAAGCCCACCTATCAAAGATGCTATGAAAGGCATATGTGTCTGAGCACATTTGGGTCTGTTTCAGCTCTGAGGTTTGTAAAGGATGCCTCTCCTGTCTCAGTTTACTAATCTGTGAACCCAAGGGGGTGGGGGGTAGAATCTGGCCATTCAAGTCCTCTGATTCTAAATCGTCTCCTGCCTCTCTGATGCCTGCTCCAGTTCATTTACTCCTCCAAAATATGTCGCCCTGCCTCCCTCAGTCTCTCCTTTGTACCCTTACAATCCGCCACTATCCTCTGCAATGGGGCTTTCTGATTCTCTATGCCCCTTTCTTCAAATATGCTGACATAGTCCATTTATAGAAGTGCACACCAGGAAAAAAGGGCTCCCTTATGTAAGGCAGAGTCTGTGCAAGTCCTTCATGGACCTCTGGTACAAAGGCCTGTCGAATGCGACCAACACTTTCATTCATTCATTCATCACCAAATATCCAATGCTCCTACCAGGCACTATATGGGGGCACAGAGATGGATAAACACAGCTCCTGCCCTTGGAGAGCCTATAATGATGGGGGCAAGGCGATGAGACAGGCAGAAATATCTCAGATACCAGGCAGGCTGGTAGGCAGACAGACAAGTGTTTCTTTTATGAGGTGCTTTGAAACTTATGCGTGGAGAAATCAAAGAGAGCTTCCCAGAGGAGGTGGCGTTGGAGCTGAGCCATGAAGAACTAGTAGCATGGGGGGTGGACATTCCAGGTTAAAGCTGGCATTTGGCATTCTTTGCTACTACGCAGCATCTGAATGAATTTCCTACATCAGAGGGTGCTTCACTCTCTGAGGCACAGCCCACCTCCCAAGAAGAGGCTAAAATTTCCAGAGACTTTCCCAGTCTCCACTGCAACCAGGACTTGGGCATGTGACTCAGAATTCACCAATCAGATTCATCCATCCCGGATGCTGGGAAGGAAGCTGGAATCAAGCAGAATCTACTTGGGGACCAAAGTGGCAACATCCAGGTTTCATTGCAGGTGGAAATGGTTCTAACAACCCTGCTCGGAGCCCAGTGTCATTGATGTCGAGAGTGTGAATTGCACTATTTATGCCTGACTGCAGCTGCTACAATAATATCTCTATCAGCCAGGTCTGTGCTGTGATTTGGAGTGGTGCTCTAGACTTCATGGACTCTACGCCCACATACCATGTCTTCCTGGAGATTCTAAGTCATCTAATATTACTTCACGGAATTCTGTTTCTGCTTAAATTATCCAGAATTGGTATCGTTGCTTGCAGCTAAGATACCTGCCTGAGAACACAGAAAGTGCAAACAAATGGAGGGCAGAGAGGGCAAAGCTAAGGAAGGGAAATGGAGGAAGTTCAGTGAGGGGGAGAAGGAGTGATTGAAGACAAGATAGAAAAGGCAGGCAAGGAATTTGCTGTTCATTTTGAGGAGTCACAATTTTGTCTGGTAAGAGGTGTCGAATCTGGAAGGACCACAGGAAAAGAACTCATATTTCTGAACACATACTCTGCGACTTCAACATTTCATGTATTATATCAGTGAATGATAATAACAATTCCTGCCTTCTGGTGGTAGTGAGGCTTCAGAAACAGTTATGCAAAGTGCTTAACATAGTAGGTGCTCAATAAATTGTAACTGCTGCTTTGAGGTGTAATCCCAGCAACGCCTGGAGTAAGGCTGGTTATCCCCATTTGATAGATGTAGAATTTGAGGCTCAGGGAAGCTAAGAAACTTGAGTTTGATCATGCAGTTACCTAGTGGTAGAACACAAGTCGGCCCAACTCCTAAATTCTTGCTCTCTCTGCCACAGATGCCACCTCCCTGCACCAACACTTCCCCATCTATCCACCCATCCACAGTATGCTGTGCCTTCCCTATTCTTATTCCAATGTCCTGTTCTTTTGGCCAGTGGCACCTGTCTTCTCCCTCTCAGCTTCTCTCGTCCCTTCTCCTTTGCTCTTCACTCTGTCACATTACATTATTGATTTAATTAGTTACATTTCAGTGTTGAGGCAATTTATTCTCCTCTAGGTTCCCCCTTGTACCCCCATCTCTGACTCCACTGATCTGAAATTCCTTTTCATTCTTTCCAACTCCTCCCCAGTCCTCCCAGCAAATGCTTCCTCTTTCATATTTCATATATGTCTTTCTAGGTAGTTTTGTAACATGTTTTTTTTTTTCTTTCCTTCCCCTCTCCTCCACACTCTATTCTGTTTTTTAAAAAAATCCCTTCATGGGGCCGGCCCCGTGGTGTAGCGGTTAAGTGCGTGCTCTGCTGCAGTGGCCCGGGATTTGCAGGTTCGGATCCCGGGCGCACACTGACGCGCCGCTTGTCAATCCATGCTGTGGCGGCGTCCCATATAAAGTAGAGGAAGATGGGTATAGATGTTAGTCCAGGGCCAATCTTCCTCAGCAAAAAGAGGAGGATTGGCATCGCACGTTAGCTCAGGGCTGATCTTCCTCACACACACACAAAATAAATAAAGAAAGAAATCCCTTGTTTTCAAACCATCTGACTGAGGCAGCCTAGTGTATTTGGAAAAGCAGGGGCTTGGAAAAACAAGGCTCTGGTTGAGATATCATCTTTGCTATTTACCTACTGGGTCAAACCACTTAATGACGCCCCTGCTAGACCTTTCATTTTCTCATGTGTGAAATCGGAAAATAGTGCCCACTTTTCAGGATCATTATGGGAATCAAATGAGATCCCGTGTATGAAAATGCCTAGCCCAGAGAAGGTTCTCATGAATGTTGTAAGTAAATCCAAACATCTTACAGTGTCTAACTCCCTGTTCTCCTCTCCAGCCCCATGTAACAAGATCCTCACCACGGCCACCCTGCACTCTGTTCTAGCGGCATGAATCTCTTTTCTGTTCCTTGGATGTTTCAAACTCTTGCCCAGTGTTTCCACACAGGCTCCTCCTTCTGCTTAGAGAGCTCCCTCCAGACTTCACCTCGCTGGCTTTCACTTACCTGTAAGTCTTAGCTAATACAGCACTTTCCCTAAGATGACTAACCACTCAGTCTAAACAGCCCTCTGTCTTCGCTGTTATGTCCTCTTGGATCTCCTTATAGTTTTCTTAATCACACTCATTTCGTATTTTACAAATCGTCCATTGATTGGTATATTTTCTTGATGTGTCTTCCCCACTAGACTGGGAGCACCAAGACATGAAAGAACACGTGTCTCAGTCACCACCATGTTCGTATGAGCTAGCACTGTGATTAACATACGAGAGAGACACAAAATTTTGTCACTGAGTGATCACGTATTGATTGACCTTTTACTGTCAGACAGGCATTGTACTAGGCACTAGCCATCATTCTGCAGTGAAGAAAACAGACCATCCTTATGGTTTTCTACAGTGAGTACATTTTCCTCCCTCTATCCCTCTGTCTATCCCTCTTTCCCTCCTTCCTTTCTTCCCTCTTTTCCTCTCTCCCTCCTTCCCTTTTTTCCTTCCTTCCACCCTTCCCAGCTTTACAAGATTCAAGTAATTTTTTTTAACAGTCATTCTTCTTTAAGCCTCAAGATGATCTCTAGAACATAAACTCCAATTCAAGAGGAGAGTGTGCTGTCCCCTTTGCTTTATCTCTATCTAAACTCAATCTTCCATCAATCCTTTTCATACTCACAAATCCTCACCATTTGTTTTTTCTCATTGCCTGCTCTGTAACTCATGTGTTCTTTTAATCCTGCCTTGCTCCATACAGCATGTTAACTCCATCCATCGCCCAGAACATTGTTTCTTTTCTTTCCCTTCAGCCACCTCCCCTCAGACACTCTCCTGTCTTAGCTCTGCCAATCCCTCAGCATCTTAACCCATGCAGAGCCCAGCTCCATCAGTTGGTATAGGATCAATTACAAGATTAAGGTCAATCTTGAAGCTTTTCCTTTTATTGTTGATGTATCCAAAATAGATACTGTAAATATCTATTACTGCTGTTTGTTTCTTTGACTCAGAAACCTCTCCTTGATGTAAGTTCAAATTATTTTCTCTACCACTTACTAGTTGGGTAATTTTTAGTGATTCACAACCTCTCTGAGCCTTAATTTCCTTTCCTGTAAGTGGGGTAATGGGAAGGTTGAATGAGCCAGCAGGTACCAATGGAAAAACCCAGTGCTCTCTGGCACGTTAACTGGTCCTCAGTAACAGTAGCTTGTTTCCACCTCGAAATGTCTATTTATTTGGTCCTTCTGTGACCTCTCTGTCTCTTCACTTTCATCTCTCCATTTCTCATTTCCCTTTTCTGAACATTTCCACTCTATCTTACTTAGAGCAAACTTTTACCATTGTGTCTAACTTCTCTTTCGTGAAAAATGAGAGAATGTTTTAATCACCATTGTCTTTCTTCATTTCTACTTGCATCTGTTTGACTGATTTCTGCTGCAACCCAGTACTTCTCTAACTCTTTCCCTTAACAATTCTCAAATTTATTATCTTTTTTCTCCAGCTCATACCTTTCACTACCTCCCACTTTCCCCATCCCCAGTCCTCTAAATCAACTCCTTCTTGTTTGGTGATTTACTACAGTCATTTCATATCCTTCTGACACCATCACCATCCAGTTAAAATCCTCACAATATTCCTTGCAAGTCTCGCTCTCTGTCCTCATTCATCCTTTTGCATTCTCTTTTTCAAGTCCACTCTTCTTTAACTCATCTGCATCATTCATTTGCTTGTGCCCAAATCTGTGTACCTTTTTGTCTACTTACTTGTTTAACCTATTCGTGTTCCCTTCCTCCTTTGTTACATTTGTCCATCTTTCACCATTAACACACATTTAATGGGTGATGTTCCTTTGGATCTCATTTTCTTACAACTCTTACTACTGGTGAATTTTCAGGATCCTCTTTCTGGGTCACACTGGCTCTTCTTATCTGGAATCTTTTCTCTATGGGACTCCGCTTTTTTCAAAAAAAAAAAAAAAAAATGCCTTGCAGTATCTGCTTTATATTTACTCAAGCTGAACTGCTAACCTGGTGCATTAGAATGTATATGACTAATGAAAAATGTAAGTTTTATTCTCTCCTACAGAGTACTAGGTCATTTTCCTTTCTGCAGCACATTATTTTTACTATTATATTTTGAACTGGTGAAGATGATGTCAGTATGGAGTGACTATTTTTAAAGCATTTTCTGGATGCCTACTATGAGTTAGGCACAAAACACATTTTTTTCTAATTTAATTCTCATAACCACCTGCGAAGTTGGAATTTTTAATCCATGCTTTACAGGGGAAGAATTGGGAACGCAGAAAATGTACAGCCTGCAATATGCTGGGCAAGTTACATCTAATAAAGTCCTTCCAACTCCTTTGGGGAGAAATTCAAAACTGGCCCCGGTACGCAGAGGGCAAGGAGAGACTGAAGAAAGAGGGAGACGACTCCAGGTTGGTAGGTAGCAGGTTTAACAAGTAGGGGAACTCACAAATGAGGCTTATCTTAGGTGCTGCAAGATGAGTAGATCTCTGCATCCACCTGCCAGAATCTTAAAAGTTTATACAGAGGCCTTAACGGGGTTCAGTCATGTATGCCATCCAGATGGTCTCAACAACACATTACTCTTTCAAGGTTGTGTCCTCGAAATGGTTCTGGCTATGGGAGCGGTGGGCGGAATGTACATTTCAAGGACTGGGGAGGGGGCAAGAGCCTCTGATTGCCTGGATCCAGCTCACGGGACAACCAGCCGTCACATCCTCTCGATGACCTCCTCCAACAAGACAGTATACTATAGAGGTTAAGAGTTTCCATACTTTTCTAACAGGGATGAGGACAACCACTTTGCAGGAGTATTATTTAATATTTGTCTTCTCTGCTAAATTACCACGAGGGCAGAAATCCTGTCAACCTTGTTCCCTGCTGCCTGGCATGTGTTAAACCATCAGTGATTATTTGTTGAATGAATAAATGAATGAATGAATGAATGAATGTTAAAAGCACAACCTCTTGCATAAGCAAACCCTGGTTTTTAATTTCAGCTCTGCCATTTAATACCTGCGTGCCCTGCACATAGTAGGAAGAGAGCAGATATCTTCTCACAGTCTGTATCTGTAAGTTTGCTGATGCATGCTGTTGTATGCACATTGTTTTTAATTTTTAAGTAATGTTATTTAGCAACTTCAGAGCCAGGCAAACCGGGTTCCATTCCCAGCTCTCCCTGTTGCTAGCTTTAGTGCCTTGGGCAAGTTATTTATCTCTTCAAGCATAACTTCTTCATCCATAAAATGGGAATGATCCAACCTCTCTCTTATATTCAAGGGCAAGTGCTAGTTTGGTTGATGAACTGGAGTGAGACCCCAAGACTACCTGCATTTCAAGTCCCCTGCACAGTTTATTACAGCAGGGGTCTCATTGCCCTGACTCCCAACTCCACAGCCTCCTGTCACTGTTTCTCCCACTATCTTAAGGAGCTTTGTATAAACATAACTCCCAGGGCCTTGCTCAGATGTATCTCAGGGAGGCAGAGGACAGCCCCCACTTCTGACCCACTTACCAAGCTACATTTGATGACTACCATTGTATGATAATTTGCAGACTCAGCAAGGCTGAGGCTCTGCAGCCTCCATATGTCTCCTGAAGGTCCAGCTGCACTCTGTCTCATTCTAGAAAGGCTTTCAGCAAAATCTATTGGAAGTCCCACTTCCCACCTCTGGGCACGATCTATAATATATATGTAATCTTTCCTTTGTTTTTACTGAGGCTCTGGTCTACAGAGGGAAAAAGAAAATAGTATTTAAACTCAAAAAAGCCGTCCTTCCCTCTCTTCTTCCCTCCTTCCCTCCCTTTCTTTTTCTCATCTGTTTTTCATGGAATATTATGGAATACTCTGCTCCAGGAATGGGGATACAAGGATGAACAAGACAAAAATGGTCCCTGCACTCGTGGAGCTTACAGTCTAGTCAAGAAATACACATAAACAAATAATCAAAAATGAATATATGGCAGGAGGAAATGGGGAGTTGCTATTCAATGGATATAAAGTTTCAGTTATTCAAGATGATGAAGTTCTAGAGATCTGCTGTACATTGTGCCTATAGTTAACAATACTGTATTGTACACTTAAAAACTTGTTAAGAAAATA